GATTGCATGAGAGAATAATAACATCTACTTTGGTAGTTGACATTTCTTAACTTGAGTGTGAGATTCCGCCTTTATTGGTGTTATACTTGGTCACATCATTGAAGAGTCAAATTAATGACCTTCTTTCTGTTGTGGGATTTCTGTTTCTATGCTCTATGAATTGTTTGGCTTTCACACACGTTTTTGACAAAAATAAATTCGTTGAAACTCTTTTTTATTTTCTCCTTGTAATGATTTGATGTGAGTCCTTAACCTAATTTGAAACTGCTCCTTTAACTAAATTTGAATCAATTGAGTTGCTTAATTTGATCCTGATCCTTTGTCACAATTATGACTGATTGGCTTAAGTAGCTCACAAGAAAGGGCATCTTACAAACCTTAGTGCTCTTATGTGCTTGCAAAGCTCTATAATATTGCAGCTTGCTATTCATTTCAGTGGTTTTTTGATGGTACAAAAGAGTATTCATAGCTAAAAACTATATATTCTCGACTAAGTATTTCAGCAGATGAGGAAGTTTTTATAACTTATTTGCTGAGATGTTTATGTTACAATTCATATGCGCTATCATACTCATGCCGAGGATTTATATAATACATTTTCGATATAGTTATTTCTTCACATTTTTTTTTTCAAATTATTGACATCGATGTGGCTTTTATTTTTTATCTGCAGTGATAGTTAAGGCTAGTAGCGGTCCTAGATATGTTGTTGGTTGCCGAAGCAAAGTTGATAAAGATAAGCTGACATCTGGGACACGTGTAGTACTTGATATGACCACCCTTACAATAATGCGTGCTCTTCCTCGAGAGGTACATCCCACTAAAGATATGGTGTTATATATATACTTCGATAAAACGAGAAAGGCATATTTTATTTTATTGATGTTTTCCTTGCCTCTTTAACATTTTTATGATGTGTAAATTGATGTTTTGATCTGATTACACATTATTTTGATTACCTTTGACAGGTTGACCCTGTTGTTTACAACATGCTTCATGAGGATCCTGGCAATGTAAGCTATTCAGCTGTAGGAGGTTTATCTGATCAGATTCGGGAACTTCGTGAGTCCATCGAATTACCATTGATGAATCCTGAACTATTCCTTAGAGTGGGGATTAAACCTCCCAAGGTGAAGTATTGCACAATTTGTATAAATTTTGATTTTTGTGTTTAAATACAACTGTATCATTGCATGAATTTCCCCTATTTTTTTTCAGTTCTTTTAGGCATAGCTTTTGGCATTGTTTAGTTTTTTGAGGTTGAAATGCCCCTTTTTTCAGGGTGTTCTTCTGTATGGCCCTCCTGGAACTGGAAAAACTTTATTGGCCAGGGCAATTGCTAGTAATATAGATGCAAATTTCCTAAAGGTAAGTCCTTTTTTTTTATTTGGTGCTGCATCCATCTGCAGCTGTATTTGTTAACTTCCTTTTGGTTACTTGTAGGTTGTATCCAGTGCCATTATTGACAAATATATTGGTGAAAGTGCTAGATTGATAAGGGAGATGTTTGGTTATGCAAGAGATCATCAAGTACGTACCTATTCAACTTTCCTCTACCGTTCTCCATTTTTCCTGAGTGATGGAACCTAAAATTTGGTGTCTTTCCTTTCTTAAAAGTGGCTTCATTGCATTAAGTTGAATGTTAATGATTAAGACATAGAATTATCTAACGTTTTTCTATATTTATGTAGCCATGCATTATTTTCATGGATGAGATTGATGCCATTGGTGGTCGCCGGTTTAGCGAGGGAACTAGTGCTGACCGGGAAATTCAAAGAACACTAATGGAGCTGCTCAATCAGTTGGATGGATTTGATCAACTTGGAAAGGTGTTCATTTACCGTATTTTTTATTTAGTTGTGATGTGTGGCATGGATGAATAACTTTTAGGGGCTGTTTGGTATCGGATGTATCGTGGGATTTAAGTCGGATTTATGCTAAATCCAGCCAAACGGTTTTTGTGTGCGCGTTAAATCTCGGATTTATGGATTTACGGATTTACAGCTTAAATCCCGGATTTACTAAATCCATCGGTTCGGCGGATTTAACGGAATTTAACATTAGAAGCTCGCGAAAGGGAGAAAGTTAACTTCACAGACAGCGAGCTCATGTTCTTGCTTCCGATCAAAATGTCGTAACTTCCGATCCGGCAGGGAGAAAGTTAACTTCACAGCCAGCTAGCTCATGTTCTTGCTTACTTTAATGTCATGCAGTATTTTGAATGATCTAGCATTCCTTAACGAGGTCATGTTTTAATGAGGGATTTTCATATATGTCACAAGTTCTTATATATTTACATCTTTAATGTCTACATCTTTATATTTACTTATGTACCACTTCAATGTTTGGATCACATCAAAGTATATGCATGAAATGGTGTGTTTTACTTTAAATAAGTTAATATTAGTAGTATTTTTTATGTGATTTAGAGATTCGAGTGTTATGGACCTAAATTTAATGATTTAGGTGTTAGATATGTAAATATATAAAAATTTTGTTGTTATGTATGTTAACCTCCCTATTATTATACTTCAGGATTCACAAATTAATAGATTCATTCTTGATGGTAGAAAATTCTTGTGCATTTATTTTTCTGAAAAAGGTTTTAGTTCTTGCTTTTGTCGCATATTCCATTTGACGCCATGTAAAATTGTTGCCCGAGTTTGAAACAGCACCTAGATCAAATTATTACATCATATTCTATTTATTATGGCTGTAAATAGGAACCACCTTAATCGTTTTTCCATCTTGAAAGGATATTTCTCCTGCCTTGAGATGCGCGCCTCATTTCTAAGGGTTCGTTTGGGACGGCTTTTTTGTTGCTTTTTAAAGTAGCTTTTTAGTAAACAAATTAATTTTTTTATATTAAAAAGCTGCTTTAAAAAGCAACTAGAAAGTCATCCCAAATGAAGCCTAAATCTATCCATGTCTGTTCAAGGTTGCATCCATGAAAGTTATTTAGTCAAGGTTGTCGGAGTATGAGAAAATTGTTTTAATACATGATTGTTTTGACTGTTCATCAATGAAGACTGAACCGTTTGGCACAACCTTTCCTGCTTATAATTTTCAAGCGTTCCTTCTGATTTCTGATAGAGGACTTGGTTTTTATTATTTAAATTACTGTGCATTAGGTTAAAATGATCATGGCAACGAATCGGCCTGATGTTCTCGACCCAGCTCTTCTCCGTCCGGGTCGGTTGGACCGGAAGATAGAGATCCCTTTGCCAAATGA